TGGCAGATACTGTTACTATCTTTTATTCATATATAGCATATGTCACAGTAATTGTTAATATGGTGGTTGAAAGTAGCCTTATAAAGCACTAAAACAATATATTCTGTATTCACAAGGGCTTCAGCAAGAGGAGGCAATAACCAAAGTGCATCAATCCCATCTCGCATACCGATTCTAAAGACTCGTGTACATCTCCCCTGTTCTTGCCTATGCCTATATTGCTACAGTCTAGCACTGAAACGGCACAGGCGAAAGCAAGTGGGTATGATATTACACCTGTATCCGTTGGAAGATAGTGTGTGGCACACAGTAAAACAAAAATCGCTGAGGACGTCACATGACCTCGACAGCGTCATCTTGAAAAGGAGACGAATGTACGGCCTGTAGTGTTGTCGTTTCTAAAACTGATTCAGCATTTGAATGCAATTTTTGCATACGATAAGTACACTGCCGTTGTAACAAAGGAGTGCCAGAACCATATTATGAGATTATGCGTCAAAGCCCGTGCTCATGGTTCTGGTACATCTGCCACTTTGTCTCCCTGGCACTGTCTCACACAGTATGGCGTCGGATAGCAGAAATAGCACGCCACTCTTGTGTCTCGACACAGTCTCATGCAGTGCTCCACCTGATAAAACCACATCACCAAAATCTAGTAAAAACCGTAGGGAGGATACTCCAGACCAACCAACTGGAAATATCAGTCTTCGTAAACTGAAGATTACCAAGGTTACGCCCAGAACAGCAGGGGAAAATGGAGTTGCCCAAGCGCCACTTGCATCCACTGGCAAGCGTGACAACACAGCAAGGTCTGGTCAGAGCCTGATGGAACCTTAAGTGACCGACCCTACAAAAAAGGACAAGCAGCCAAAGATCAAACCTAAGTCTGGGGTAAGTCGGTCGATCTCCCTTATCCTGTTTAATATATCCGTGTGCAATGATAGTTTGATCAGGAACAGTGGTTCAACTTGCGCAATAAATTGGTTCTGAACAACAGTTCATCGAAATTATGCAGGCTGCAAAGGTGAGCTGCCTCCATTAAGGGTAACACTGGCCCCTGCCAAAGAGGCCGAAAGAATACTGTTACTGGCTCAAGTATTAGCTGTCGACAGGAGTTCCATGGTAGGCCATGGACTGACAGACGAATTGCGAGGGAGCCACGGCAACTAATGCCCTCTACCTCTATGGTCAAACGCAGTGTTCCCGATCTGGAAACTGGCAGTACCCAGGAAAAACACATGCCTGCGTGCAGCAATGGAGATGGCTGTTATCTCGGGTGGCCCTTGGTGCTTCTAGAGAAATCTCGATTTTCCGGCTACGTCACTCCACTTTTCTCACATTGATTAGTTCCCTAAGGCTGCTGAGTATGAAATTCGACTCCTTGAAACTGTTGGCTGCAGTATTTCAACGTTGGCACGAGACCAAGGGTAAGTTGGGAGGACACACCCGATGCTGCAAAGGCAGACCTCGAACCATAAGGAGGTGGCGAACTATAATCTTAAACGTCCCTATGCCCCAACGACACTACAGGGATGCCGTACTGAGAATGACAGTCAGTGTCACCCAAGTGTCCTACTCGAACCCAAGGAAGAAAATAACAACGGGCTGGTTCCATCGGAATCGGCCAACTGGTCCCAACATTAAGTCCCCTACCAGCAGACAGCGTAACATCAACCACCCCACAAAACTTTGAGGCTGTGAGACTCACTGTCAGCTGCCTGTATAGCGATTTGAGAGGGCTGAGAGGGAAAGTAGGTAAACTCAGAAACATCCGGGCTCACTCACAACTTAAAATAATAACCCTGATTGTAACCTGGCTAGCCGACAATGAAATCAGTGTAAGTGATATGGTTCTGGTCAGGAGAGAGAGGAATAACAAGGAAGTTGGAGTTGCAATATACTCTGACAAGCAACTCGAATACGTAGGTGCAACAGACCCACCACTTACTGAACTCCAGGACTCCATATAGTGTCATTTCACCGCAGGCCACACCAAGCATTTACTGCGTGGGGTCCACTGATCACACACCTGTGGGGCAGAGCACAACCAGCTACTGCTCCGCACCATCACAGGGATACGGGACTTAGGCTATGGCCAAATCACCATAGCTAGAGATTTTAACGCCCCATCCCTGGACCTTGACTTGGAGTATGCTCGAGAGAAATTCGGTCAAAATCTACTACAAACCATTAGAAATAAAAGACTGACCAAGAATGTTGGAGAAGTCAGCAAATTGGGCTCTAGTGGAAAGTCACCGAAACTAGATTACATTCTAACTAGTTAAACAGCAACCTGTCTAAAATTTTCAGATCGCGAACTCTTTAGGAAGTAGTGACCATGCAGTCATACAGTTCAGTCTTGTTCTCCGTGAGTGCTTACAGTGGAACGCTAAGTGAACATGTGTGTGCTATGACAAGGCTGACTATGCTGAAGTGCGGAGGCCTTTGTCCGACGCAGAATGGCCCACAGAATAGTCTGAGTGATCTGTGGATAAACACTGGAAAGTGGTAAAAGAGATTATTCACACAGTAATCTCGAATGCCATCTCTTTAATCAAAACACAGCCGAAGAAAATGTTCTCATGGTTGAAGAGAGGTACGCAACGTATTCTGCATGTAAAGCGGAGGGCTTGGTCTGCGTGGCGAATATTCGAGAGTCAGACCGACCACGATGCATACCTGGAAGTCAGCAAGCGGTGCAACGCAAGAGTTAGGAGTGACTGGAAGTCATTTCAGGTTAACCTTGCCGAAAAACTCCTGCTAAGCCCCAAAAGCCTGTAGCGATTCATGTCGGAGAGAAAGCCAACCAAGGGACATGTGCCTTAGTAGGTTCAAACGGTCCTTACCTCACTAGTTTGGAGATGGCTGAAACACTCAGTTTACCCTTCGCCAAGCAGTTAAGCAGCAAAGCTGGCATTACTGGTTCGGACCAAAACGGCGGCACTACTACTTCACCAGAGGAAAACCTAGCGACTACTCTCCAAAAGAACCAGCCAGTAGCACTAGGGAAGCTACAGAGACTCACACCTGGAAAGTCCACAGGTTGCGACGGCATCAGACCCTCTGTTCTAAAACAGTGCAGCAAAGCTCCGTGTAGGCCCTTATGCGACTTATTCCAACACTCGATGGATTCAGGGAAACTGGCAAGGGAGCGGAAGAGAACCATCCTTTCTCCGATTTTCACGGGTGGGGACAGGCAAAATGCCACCAGTTATAGACTAGTAGTGCTACTCTCAGTGGTACCAAAAGTACTGGAAGGTATGATTGATGATCACATCGGGGAATACATCGGTAGGACCTAATAGACCCCAAGAAGCACAACATGGTTTCAGGAAAGGTAGGTCCTGTGTAACAAACCCACTGACAGCCTGGGATGATTTGATATCATGCTGGGATATGAATGTTCCAATCCATGTGACCTTCCCGGACTTTGGGAAGGCATTTTACACAGTTAACCATGCCCCCTCCTACACATAATTAGTCAGACAGGTGTAGGTGAGCAGCTCCTGTCATGGTTGAAGGACTACCTAGATGAAAGGAAATTCTGCACTAAGGCCAATCGAGTCCGATAATCTTGACACAGCTCGTCATCAGGGGGTGCCGCAGGGCTACATACTAGGACCACTGATGTTTTCGATTTTTAACAATGACCTAATGCTGTCTAAGCTGCTCGAATCTGAAGACGTAAACATTTGGAGAGCAATAAAGTGTTCAGAAGACTAGGTAGGCTGTAGGCAGACCTAGAGCTTCTAAAACACTGGTTGGTGGCCAGTAGTATGACTTTCAACCTGCAAAAGTGCAAAGTAGTGACAATACGCACCTGTAGGCTGCAGAATGCGAGCTACACCCTGTGCAACGAAAGCTTGTCCTGCACAACGTCGGAGCGTGACTTAGATCGAGTTCTAACGGATAAATGCAAACAAGCGTGAATTGGACGGGGGATTTACTGAGGCCATATGTGGTCATACACTTTGCACATAGGCAGTTGGGTGCAATCACTCCTGAGCTCTTTCTAAAACCCAAAAAACATACGTCAGACCACAATTTGAAGTGCACAATATCATAGCACTCCCACTGTTAAGAAGAGACGCGAACCTTTTGGAAAGAGTTCGAAGACAGACGACAAAAGGAATGATGAGTCGCCAAAACAAGCAGTAACATGAACGGCTAAAGAAATTAGGTCTCTTCACACTTAGTTACCGTCGGCTTAAGGCGGAACTTGATTACTGTCTATAAGACGACAAATGACTAGAATCACCCAAACAAAAGTGTTCTGCCATTAAGTACGCATGGGCTTCCTCGTGGAAATTCCCAAAGGTTAGCTCACCAGAGGGCAAAGACTTGAGTGCGCCCCCACTTCTTTTCACTGACGGTTTGCCTCCCCTGGAACTCCTAACCGATAGATGTAGCCACAACACCTTCCGTGGATAGCCTTAAACGAAGCCTGGACAACCATGCAACCACACAAGGACTGCGTGCAAATGGCTCACCCCCTTGAAATCCCATACACAATTAATGGGTAGACATCTAAATTCATCGACTTACTTCTTTACATTCTCTCCTATCTTACCTCCCTGACTACTACAACTACTGCACTTACACTTATTATTATTGATATTATATATATGCGTGTATATGTATCAACTTCAAATTTAATGAGCTATCTGTTTTTACTTTTTCTTTATTTCTTTTGCTGCCTTTTACTCTGAATTACCTACACTAATTATGTTTGTAATTATTATCTCTTTCTTTGACGATGACACTGGAGGACTAACTGGTGAAAAGACCAACTCAATTCACAGCAGCGATAAAATCTTAAAATATAATTAATCACAACACTCCTTTTGGAGTTAACCAAAGCTACGAAGTAGAGTGGCTGGGTGAATTAGGCGGAAGTCTACCAAAGAGCAGGAACCTTCACCTCACAACCAAGAAGCGTGCACAAAGTAATTAAAGTGGTTTACACTGACTCTTAAAAATGATATTGGATATTGGAATGCAATAAATTGAACAAAATATTATACTGGCATTTCAAGAAATGCGCTCCGCCGATTGTGACGTTCTTCTCACCAAGGTTAAAGGGTATGATTATGTCTTATTGGATTCTGCGGCGTTTGAGAAGTTCGGCTCTGCTATTTTGTGTTCCGGTGCTAACAATGTGTTGTCTATAAATGAAGTGGGCGAGGTAATGATGAATAACAATAGTAAAGACAATTCTTATTAGGAAGTCTACAACAAATCATTTGTTTTTGTTGTTTCATCCCCATTTACAAAGTACATGCTAGATAAAATCACGTTAGTCATGTGTAATGGTGGTAAACCTAAAGGATGCTTAGTACTATCCACCGTCGAGGCAATTGGCAATTGTGGACTTTTCAATCTGTCTGAGGCTGAAGAATATCCGCTGCATGAAGTAGAGTTTTTGTCTCAAGAAGTAATTAATGATATACCCAGTTTATTAGTTGCAGGAAAAGCACGTTTCGTTTACAGTCGAGTTTGTTCCTAGTTCCTTGCGCGCTATCTTAATTAATTTACATGTCCTCCCTGCTTCACATGCTCTTCTTCCAGTAAGTGTGTCATTCATAACAGGAAAGTTAAGCAGGGTCTAAAAGACTTTCGGGCCACCTTCTACGACATTAATAGTCTCCTGTGGTCACTTAAGGTAAGCTATTGTCCTTTCATGTATTGGTGCGATAAAATGTCCTTAGTCGGAAATAGCTAATTACTCTATAGTCATCACTCCAAAGAATTTTATATTATTTTATTCACTGATATACCAGCAGTCGGTGTTTCCATTATGTCGAAATTCAGAGCCTAGATGTAACTAGATAAACATGAAATAGTGTCACACTAGACACTTAATGAACCCCACTTATTCAGTGTTTATATAACTGCTCGCTTATTTGCATTTAGACTGGCAATCTTCTTTCCCCCAAAGCTTACTGATCATAATTACGACTTTCATTTCACTAGAATACGAATTCATACTACAGCCATAGCTGATGTTTGTAAATATGCATGCAAATTAAGTTAGTCTTTTACCGCAAGTGAGTCTGATCTCACCTCTATACGTATTGAAAACTAATGCAGTATCGTGAATTATAAAACACATGTCATACTAGGCAAAATATCTCAGTTTATAAAGCATTGTCTCAACCGAACCTTCTGCTCAAATGAGTGTTTAATGTCATGCGTAAAAGCGTTTAAACATGTATAACGGCATTTTGCTGACCAACTAATCCAGCGACATACCGAACCAAGGGAATTATAACCTCTTTCACTCGTAGAACATGTATACATATTTTAGGTATCGAGTGCTGTGAGCAGTGTTTATCATTATATACTGGAGCCGTTGTTTTTGTACGATTTACTCAAGAAGAAAATAGCATAACTGTTTCTGGCGATCCATAATATAATAAACTTTAGTTGCAAACATTTTAAAGAAGTATGACAAAAACAAAGTACTAATAATATCAGGTTGACAAGCATGTTTCGCCCTATACGTTTCGCTTCTTCAAAACAGTCAACATATTTTATGCTATAGTTTGAGTGAACATATACGATCTTACGTTTGTAAGCATTATTGTTACGCGCCACACATGTGCACTTTATGCACACCTTTCTGTTTCCTAACGAGATTTTTGAAAGTAACTTACTGGGAATTTAGGGTTGCTATGCATGTGTCCGTATCGATAACAGTATGTAGACTGTTATAAAGTTTGGTTCACGACGTAGTATGAGACTGGAGTCCTGCTTGTATGTTTCCATCTTACTATCTCTTTTAACCAGTCTAGTAATACAGTAAAATTTCTGTTATAGGCTGTGGAAGAAGTTTATTCGTTTGGTCAAAATAGTGGTAAAATAGCTTCACAGTTTGCTGATTTCCATGCTGCGGTGAATAGAAGAAGGGTAAGATTTCTTATCGTTTGTTATGTTCAGTATCCTCAAACGTTAGCCCTGTGTAGTTTTTTTACAAACTTGTATTGGAATTCGTTCATTTAAATTTCAATGAGTTAGTGTGCTCTTCACTATCTAGGAATCTCTCCAAACGTTTTAATTTAATCACTGGCGTAAACTTGGAATAGCCTTTTGTTTGTTCATTATGGTGTATGAAAAAGAGAAGACATTCAGCGAAGAGACTCTTTTCGGCGAATTCATTCACATAGCTGTACAATCGCATTTATATATAAATATTTGTGTGTGTGTGTGTACATGAGGTTTGTCAAGTTTAGATAATTGATTAGTTAATACAAGAATGACAAAGTTAATCAGACAGCAACTAAAGTAAGACTGAGTTAAAAAACTAGATGACGTAATATAATTGGCCAAAATGTTACAACTTAGGTCAGGATAGCAACAGAGGTAATTACAGGTAGAGATTAAGTAGAAGTGAAATTGAGTGAATAAGTTGGATGACGTAACATGAATGACTAGAAACTGAGCGTTGTTCAAGTCAGTAACAGTGGTAGTGGGGTGTAGAGATTGAATCGGGTGGGGGTAGAGAACAAGAAAGTTGAGAATGTAAAATGTTACAATTGAGAAGACAAAGTAATACTAATGAAGAGACAGAAAAAAAAAGATTAGGTAGAATTTACATGTCGGCTAATAAGATAGATTACGTCCATTGCAAGTGTAACGATTGAACGAACTTCTTCTGTATGCAGAGTTCAGGACTTAGCAAGTGAATCGCCATTGCTTCTGCAGTTTGAAGAAGTCTGATTCGTACACCTTTAGGGAGACCACCTCTTACTCTGTAGACGACTTTGAAGTTTGTTTGCGGTGTAGCTTGGTGTCCGGATTCTATCAGATGTTCTAAGATGGAACTGCGGGGGCATCGATTTTCTCCTTTGTAAAACCATGCTGGTAAGTGCTCGGTGATACGTTTGGAAAGCGAGCGCTGGGTACGGCCGACATACCTGGCTCCACACGAGCAGGTGAACTGATAAATGCACATTGATGAGGCCAGCAGCGGTAGCTTATCCTTCGCGTTCACATGAATCATAGGTTTTGTGGAGAAGGTTAGTCGTAGTTCAGCTGCGAAGAAGGTCTTCTTAAGTGAGCGCGACAGTCGATTTTTTAGTGTTTCCGCAGATAGATCTCCATTGAATTGGAGGTTCATGTAGAGTAGTTTTTTCTTGACGCTGAGTATGGCGGCTTTCTGGTCTAGGATTCTGATTAATTTGTTGCTATCCTGACCTAAGTTGTAACATTTTGGCCAATTATATTACGTCATCTAGTTTTTAACTCAGTTTATTTAGTTGCTGTCTGATTAACTTTGTCATTCTTGTATTAACTAATCAATTATCTAAACTTGACAAACCTCATGTACACACACACACACAAATATTTATATATAAATGCGATTGTACAGCTATGTGAATGAATTCGCCGAAAAGAGTCTCTTCGCTGAATGTCTTCTCTTTTTCATATGACTCAATGGGGATTTTCAATCTCATTATGGTGTAGACAAACGCTTAGTCACCATTTTATTTTAGGAAAACGACAATTTTTTGTCTAATTCTTTTAGGGATCTGTCTAAAATTTTGCCTGTCCGAGTTCATTGTAGAGTCTATTCTGGCAACAAAAACACCTCTTTGTATCAGAAATAAGCTTGGGCTAGGAGTAGATGGTTGTCTGAACATGGTTATGGTAAGTTTTTTCTGGACTCCAAGAATACACCTAAGACTCCTTCAGATTTCCCACTTTCGCTTGAGCGTTAGAATCTCTCAATGACGACCTCATCCGAGCGTTTGGTTTTCTGTAATAGAGCACATACTTTTAAAAAGACTCATTTTCTCATCTTCTGAACTACAGGAAGAGATGCACAGAAAAGACTACAGAATGACGTCTGCGTGTATATCTACTTTTCTTACCCAACTTAACTGAACAACATACATGCGACTGTGAGTTGGAGTTTAGTTGAGCAGTATGCCTTTTGTGTAAGGACTCCAAATCGTGTCTGTATATTCAAAATCCCACAAACTGGCTGGTGGGTTGCAGGATACTCTAAGCATCAGGTTACTTGACTTATCTCACTGGAATCTTGTACGAGCATTTTATGTACAACATAGTACTATTGTTTTGATAAATAAGGCCACTTTGATATATGGTACGGATATTTAGAACTTCGACATGCAGCTTTAAGCAAAGCGTATATATATATATATATATAAACTTTTGAATGCATAGTTTAGACCTAATAGTCCGAATGCCTGTCGGGTTGATCACTGACGAAATCTCAGCACGTATACAGAAAGCTAGTTTCGCATATGCTAATTTACACCGTCTCTGGCGTAGACGTGATATCCGGTTATCGACCAAAGGACGTATGTACTGCTCAGTAGTCCACTCCGTCCTCCTTTATAGTTGTGAGACCTGGTCATTGAGAGTGGAAGACATGAAAAGGCCGGCTAGCTGTCTTTTTTTGATTATAGCTTGATTCCACACAGTACTTTTGGTACAAGTATGGAATTTTCAGCATGTGATATCGGTAGCCCAAAGTTTGCAGGACGACCAATTGATATCAGGTGTGCGTCGGTGGGTGATCGAACCCCGGACCATGTGCATGGTCGGCGAGAGTACTAACCACCGTGCCACCATCATATGTGCGTTCTATCTCCCGTGTGAAGTGGAATAATAGGGTGAGCAATATTGAAGTTAGGCATCGGTCAAGTGCCAGGTAAAGAGTGGAAATCAATAGACAAGGCTGTGAAGTTACATCGACTAAGATGGTTAGGACATGTGATGTGCATGCCTAGCCATCGCCTTCCTCGACGGGCAATTTTAGCTTACATAGCGTCAGGTTGGAAAAGAGCTGGTGGTGGTCAAACCAAAACATGGCGTCATCAGTCAGTGAAATCCACAACAGTTAGTTTAAGCTGGTCACGTAGGGAGGTGTAGAATTCCTGACTGGGGTCCTCGGGACGGTGAACCAATGACTGGAGGCAGTTGGTGACATGGCTCAAAATCGTTCTCAATGGCTGGCGCAGATGCATCCACTCCTTGTGACTTACAATACACAATAAAACTATATTGTTCTTCGATATTACTATTTTTGCCTTACATCTCTTCTTACTGTGTCGATTTCGCATTTCTTTTTACTTTCTTCCCTTGCTTTGTGTGCTGAGTGAAGTGTGGCGACTCGAACTGCTGCACATCGGTGCAAAGTTCTACGTTGAAACCATTCAGTCAGTCAATGTCTGTCGCCTTAGTTATGTGCAATAGATGAATACGAAGTCTATTGGAAAGATTCGATGGGATGCGAGGAATTATCTTGAATGCTTTCGTTTTCTCAACTAAATGACCGCTGTCAACTAGATGCAACAAAATGGAGCTATAAATGGTTTTTGTGTGTCCTTTCCAAACCACGAAGGGGGATGTTCAGTAACACGTCGGCTGAGCTGTCTAATAGTACTCCCAACACAACTGCCACCGCAGGAGCAGTTGAATTGATAAATATACACAGATGTGGCAAAACTATCTAGCTCATCTTTCTTTTGAGTCCCAGTCACTCATCGGCTAGCATTATTACTATCATGACCAACTGCACAATTTATATGCTCAATCTTATCATTCTACTGACAAATCATCGTGGTTGGTTTATATTGTAATATTTATTTGAAAAGTCATGTATGTTAGAGTTAAGCCTGATGAGGCCTAATTGAAAACAATATTGTTCGCCTAAATGTGTTGTTTTAATTTTCCTATACCCTCAAAATAGGTATTTTCCTAGTGTATTTAAAAGGAAAACAAACTTTCGTGTTGTCACATGGCTTGGAGGAAATCTGACTTAATTAGGTTATGTGCGAATTAGCTGAATGTATCGAAATTTGTATCACTTCTACCAGGTATAGACATTGGAAGTTTTAAGTTGGGATATGCAGTTCTTGGAAGCAACGTTTTCTAACCTTTTTCCCACAATGGGAGGGCGGTGCAACATGCTCGATTATTGCTTGAGGCAGGCACTTTACTACAATCGCACACCAGCCAACATCGGATTAGGTTGTGAAACAGTTGGATGTGGTCAAATCAAAACTCGGCGTCAATCCGTGAGTTGTTTAACTGTTGGTTTGAGACACGTAGGAGAGTGTAGACTGTCTAGTTGGGGTTGTCGAGATGATACGAACCAATAACTGGAGACTGTTGGTGTTAATGTAACAGTAGAAGACGAACACTTGGTAAAGGAATATTTATTTGCAATTTGGTATCTCTATGTAGCGAAACTGTGTGCGTCGGTGGCACAGCGGTAGAATGCTCGCCGACTGCGCATGTGTTTTTGGGTTCAATTCCCGGTCGACGCACCTCTTTACCTCGCTAAGCCAGTAGTAAGACTGGTAAAGAGGGTAGGTTGGGCATGAGGCTAGCAACGCTATCCCGTAAAAATAAATACCACTGCTACCGAAACTTCAAAGCTCTAGCTTGAAGCCCTATGTTCCACTGGAAACGTAAAAGAATAAAATAAAATATTAAAATAATATATAGTGAAATTATGTGCACCTTATCTTCAGTGCACCAGTTGCATAGATCTACCGTGTTATGCTACTTTTGGCCTTCATATAGTGTCTCTTTATGTTCCTCTCACTTCTCTCTTTCATGTGTCTCCCCAACGTTGTATAATGTACTTTCTCTGATATCAAATCTATCTCCCTGCTGTTTGATGTTTTATGCCGATGAACACCTTTATATATGTACTACTGATAAATCTTATCAGCAGCACACATCACATCATGACTCAAATTTTATATCAGTTACGCAGATGCATTCCATCTTTATAATATCCTAGATTGATTAAATTCTCATCGTTACCTACCTAGTTGTTATTTCTCCTATACATTTCCGTTCATTGTAGTTCCATTTTTTTTCTTTGAGTTGCTGTATGGAGTACAGCAACTTAAAACGTTACACGTTTTGTGCAGAGTTCTACACTCAAAACCCAGTCAGTAAATCATCACTCCAAATTCTTTTGGTTTTGTGCTTTTATGGAATTTTTAACCAATCTAAGTTCCTTGTTTTATTCACAGAATCTGTACAACGGTGCAGATAAACGCTCGGCCTCAGTTATTTTCATTGATGAATTGGCTATTTGTGATCCTATTGCATGTTTAGAACCATACACAAGACCAAATCACTTGTTAGACTTATTATTTGCTGAATTATCCCCTGATGGTCATCGAGCTAATGTCTCTTGGCAACAAATGTCAATATGGTAAGATAAAATTATCATTAATAAATTTCTGTAACTGTGGGTTAAGTTTACTTTGGTTTCATTGTATAATTGATTTGTGAATTTCAGTGTATGAAAAATTCCCATGTAGTATAGTTAAAAACGCATATCAGCAAACATACCTCTTTTGTAAATTATTGTGTGTGCAGGCCTTCTGTTTGGTACAGTGTTTGCTCCCTGGGTTTTAGAAAGAGTACTGGAAAAAATGGTCGAGTTAAAACTGAGTGGGTTTTATGATTTCTGTATATTTCCTTTTGTTTTTCACATACGATGTCAGATGTAATAAGTACAACATTATCAATGACAAAGATTTCGAGTCCATAGACTGTAGTTATTAGCCTGTGTCTCTCTATAAGCTTCAATAAAAAACCTTGCACCCCATAACATGACCCAAATCAACATCATTCACACCTTGTACATAGGGTCTAGTTCACAATCTGTTTGTTTTAAAGCTTTTGATATGCTCTACTTCCCGGTGTATCTAAATAGGACGAAATGGGCATCCTGGATTTCACTGCTAGTAATCACTAACCAGAGTAACAATATTTGTTTCTACTTTATTGCATGTCAACAGGGTTAGGATTTCAGCATATTTAGCACCTTTTTATTGATGTGTTGCTATTCAGTTTAGTTCTAACTAACAAAATGTGAAGCATGAGTTATCTTCACATTCAGCAAGAACAACCTATTGCTGTAATAATTTCATTATTAGTATTAGTTATGTAATCCCAGGTTTTTAGATGCATGCAACGTTTAACGACAAATTTCACCTTTCTGTTAATTTTCGCTCTGAGTTAGACTCAACAGGTTTAAATCTGCTACCGCCTAATGGCTAAACATTAAAATACTCCTACTTAGCTGAGAGCGATTCACCTTTTCGTGTGTTTTCAAAGCTATCACTTAGAAGTTGATTCTTTTCTGAATTTAGTTCTCTACTTACTTTTTAGTCCACCTTTTGAGAATAAAAGCAATGGAACAAAAACGTCACCTGAACAGTTGTATACTGATTTAATGCTGTCAATGGATTCAAACACAAATCTCCTGTTGGATGAACATTTGATGCTAAAAGAACATGTGAGTTCACTCTTATTTCAGGTAATAACTATTATAATTTCCAGTGGACAAATGAGTTAATGGCGTAGGATGAGTGGATGCAATTACTGTTAATGTTACTGTTCTTAACTGTAACACGATCCTATAAGTTAGAATCGTATAAGATAAATTAGGATTCTCTACATTAAGTATGTGAATGGGAGTACAGCATAGGCAGATCTGGCAATAAAGACGTAACCAAGTAGCCTGGTGCAAGTTTCTATAAGGAGGTAAGGAGGGTAAATCCATCGATGAGGTTGTGAAACTGTGTCTATTGAGATGGCCAGGACACATGTTACGCATGTCGACTAACAGCCTTCCTCGGAGAGCAATGTTAACAGACATAAGATTATGCTGGAAAACAGTTAGGTGTGGTCAAACCAAAACATGACACGAATCAATTTAGTTTTTGATCGTTGGTTCCAGGCAAGTAGGGAAGGTGTAGACTGCTTGGTTGTGGTCCTTGGGTCGCCAAGATCCCATGACTTGAAACTACTAGTGATATGACTCAGTGCGGCGTGCACTACGGAGATTTATAATGAGTATATAGATGGAGATTGATAAGAGGGGACCAAAACTGAAATCAACATTTTAAGGCTACGGCTGAAGAGTTAGAAGTTTTTATTCCTCAACTCTGCATCTAGTTTACCTTATGGACATGAAATAATCTCATTGGACAACTCTCCCTCTCGCCAACCAATCAGAACAGTTTACTGTCCTCTGATCTAACCCACTGTTAATGTGGTCAAAAATGTATAAATATGATGAGTTTTTCCTCAACAAAAAGGTTCGTTACCAAATTCCCTTATCTTCTGCCGTTATATCAGAACCGTTCTCAGTGGTGCAGATGTATTCGCCCTCATGTTTTCTTATGTTACTGTTCTTTCTCCAGCATATTTCTGCCCGTAGTTATCTTGAATCTATTTTCTCTCTCTTTTCTCTACCTTTGTGTGCTAAATGGAGTATGGCAACTTGAACTGTTGTACTTCTGTACAAGGTACTATGTTAAAAGTCAGCCAGTTACTCAGTTTCTCTCTGTGTCTGTGCTAGCTGTTCGTTCTCAACAATACATAGTTCTGTCTAGTGTAAAGTAGGTGAACACAGTTTGATGTTCCTAATACTCTCATCGTCCATCATTAGCCTTTGGAACACCTATGGTTTGTATTGTTATCAAACTTTTCAAATATTTATTTCCATGTATAATTATGTCATGTAAAGTGCACTTTTCTGTCTGTATTTCAATATTTCTGCATCATAAAGGCATCATTATCAAAAATCCAACAGAATTTATTATTTGTCGCTGAACTGATAAATCATGATTTACCTGAATTATCTGAACCACCGAGAACAAAACTTAAATGGGCTGATTTATTACGTAGTCAAGTGAAAGAATTATTTGTGTAAGTGTTTTTTAACTAGATGCTTTTTCTTTTTGATTCATTCGCAGGTTTGTCATTATGTTATGTTTGTTGTTTTGAGATTTTTCTTCTTCCTCAACTGCTTATATCAATTCATACACATTTTGTAATCTGAATGAATTTTCGACGTTCAATTATTTCCTGTCTTTAAGTGTAGATTTGTTCGGGTGGTATCTTGATAACCTCAGTCATAAATGTATAAAATGACCATCTTATATTTGAGTAAATTTGTTTCAGTTGATAAAATCTGCTGCTTATTATAGGTGTACTGTTGTTAAACTATTTACATCTTTCAGAAATGGATACTTTTTTCCCAAAAATGTTACACTTAGTATTAATCAAATGAGTGTTGGAAAACAATATGTTGAGATCACAGTTGAAGCCATTTTCATTCACTGTAGTTATAGTTATTTGTTAGGCAAAGTCGTCTTAAAACACAACCTTCAACGACTTGAACATTTTCAAGTGTTGGGTCTGTACAGATTTTACTGATTCATAGATAGATTTCATGACGAATTAACGTTGGCTAAAAAAACCATTGGAAGCTCTTCTTGACTTTCAATGATTCACTCATCGATGAAAACAAAACAAGTAATTCAGCAAAGAGGCTCTTTTCGGTGAATTCGTTCACTAAGCTGTCCAATGTCGTTAATGTATAATTTTTTCATGAAAAAGGGTAGTAATAAAAGTGATCAGTTGTTATAATCACTGGTCAACATCGGTGTTTTTGACAAAAAAAAAACTGGCTATTTCTTATTAACTATATCTGAGTAACCTTCATATTTTTCCGCATTTTTCATCACTGGACTTCGTCGAAAGAAGGAAGCAGATGGTCTCTTTATGATACGCATCCTGGAGATGATGCATAGTTGTGCTGGGTTTGTCGTTTCTACTAACACATCATGACTTCTAAATTGGGTCCCAAGAAACAATACAGTTTCCTTTTGTCCCGATACTATTGTTATATTATCAAACAGTATTCTTGTTGCACGGAGTTCGTGCTTTTGGTAAAATCTAAAAGTCTGTCTCCATACTCTCGCTCAAAGCAGCCAGCCTTTTAATACACATTGTCAGGTATATTTTGCAAATGAATTTTAAGATGTTAACATCGTAAGTTTCTATAAGCGAGAGTGTTTCAGACTGCGTGTACGGGAATTCTATGCAATTCATAAAGTTTGTTGCGCTTATCCACCTGACACAATTCATATGTAGGTATTTAGATTAGTACGAAAACTATTGGAACTTCCAAGGTTATGAAGATTTCAGTTTAAGTTTTAACACTTTATCCACAAAGTAATCTGCTGTTTATCTTCATACTCATTTAGGTTAATGATTGCCTCGTTTTCTTCTTGGAAAATTATATTACTCAATTAAGAGTCAGTAGATACTTTAAATCAAGTAGAAGTATAAAACCCTGACTTTCTATGAAACGAAAGTCGCCCGTCAAGGATTTCATTAACAGTGTTTTCCTTCGTTATACTAAAAGTTTGATTCATGAACTCTTCCCTTGGATAAATATGAACCAGCCAAAATCAACAGTTTCAATGAAGAAAATATGAAATAAACGTTTATAGCTAACAAAGGAAGAGTATCTGTCGACCATTGATTGAACTGATGAACGTGTTATTTGATACACAAAAGTCAATCGAGATGCAAGAAATTTCCTAACCAATGATTCTATAAGTTATCTGTTGGTTATCTCTGCAATGTCATCAACTTTACTGCTGACAAGTCAGATCAAAGTGATTTAAATACTGGATGCCAAGTTGGCACTATTGGTCGTTGTGACTGGTACCCAACTACTCATATCGACAAACCAGTAGTATGTAGTGTCATGCATTTATGCTTGGTTTTGTTATTGCTATTTATAGCATAAAGCTTGTGACATATTGTGATCTGAATAGTTTTTGTTCCAGGGAGGAACTGTGGCGGAATTCCACCTCAGAGTGTGGTAATTTGCGAATTGTGAATTTGATAAACGATGGTAATTTGGTGATTATGCTAATTTGTAGGAACTTTCTGTGCCAGATCAAGGCTATCACTGAACTGAGACTTTTTATCTCTTCAACTTCTGGGTGTTAAGGCATGTTGTTCGAGCTGCAGATGCTGGTAGCGAAAATCCCTGTACCGACTGTGTAGTGGGGAAAACACTGCAGCGATACTACGTCATGCAAAATGGAGAATATGACGGCATTACTAAGAGAATTTGGTATGGTGGTACACCCTGATGAAACAGGCCTGATAAAATGTAAATATAATCGAGGAAATCCAGGAGTAAATAATGTGTGGATTATCTGATGCGAACGGAAAGGATTGATTTAAGGAGTACCTATGTATGCGGAGGTTAGATTAAAGTCGTTTGATAGCAATGGCTTCTGTAAAGCGAAGTAACCAGGTTTTTTTCCGTATATTGGTTATTTTGAAGGTTTAACTCATTTTCACTCTCTATCCATTGTCAATCAGATACTTAGTGACTGAACTTAAAAACACTTATTTTTCACATGAAGATTATTTGGGATATACTGAGAAAACGTAATAGACGCTTTCCTCCTTATCTTTCCTACATACTTGCTACCACAAATGCATGTGACATGAACAGAATATTTATCTGCTTTAAACTGAATTAAAAAGCATATTGTGTTGCTGGTTATTTTTCGTATTTTCGTTGATGGATTGTAGTCACCATGGAACTCGATAGTCGTGGATTCGGTCTCTTACTGAGTTGTGTACGCTCGCTCATTGCTTAACAGTACTAGACTAAGACGAATTACTTATTCGATTCTCATTGGTTCTTACAGGTTATCTGGTTGATATCACTTCATATAGCAGAACTTACATTTCACTTTACATTTGTCATGTTCTTTGCATCTTTTAATGCAATCACCTTTTTTTCTCTTTTACAGACCGATTTGCAAATCAGGTCGTTTTGAGCTTCTTAATCATATTCAAATGGCACTGGCTGTGATTAATGCATTCGACTCTGTTACAAGTCGTAATCGAAGTCATAATATTCACGACAGTGTTATAGGCTTAGACAAATTGCTTGTAAAATACGAACGATCCTTATTGGTTGCTAGTCATACAGATGCAAAACTTATTCAACAGCTTCAAAAGCCAACACACTTTGAACCAATCCTTCTAAATGCATATAAGGAAGCTATGTAAGTTGTTACAATAAGCGAATCCTCTCGTTTGCCTTTTTTATAAATTTTATCTTGTTCAACATTATACGAAGTGATTGGTGTACATTGGTTTCATAGCACGACTAATCCATTTGATTTTTATTTCAAAAGTAGAGTTTGCTGAGTCGCTGAGCTAATGAGTATCATTTGTGGTTGAATGAACAGGCGTATTATCAGCGTAAATGAGATTGTCTACCAATGACCGTGCACTCTCTAACTAAAATACAAATACTGTCAGATTTCAGAAGTAATTTCAAACACCCTAAAAGGAACATTATACGCTACTACTCTGTAGCTGATTGGTTAAGGTACTCGACTATCAACTAGTGATTCACTGATTCAAATTGTGTTTTAACTGATGAGATTTTAAGCAGCCAGGTTGTACCACGAAACCTTGCATAAATTTGGCTCATTTTCAAATGTATGTGAATAGGATTGGTTGCTAAGTGGCTCACGTATACTACGGCAACGTTAAGAGTAGTGTTCTATCGTCAACCGTTATCATTTCACAAGCTGGAGAACAAAACCTGTGTACATACTAGAAAACTTACTCCTGTTTAACATATCGTTCGACTCATCTCCTGTCTAAAAGGCCTCAAGAAGAATATCCTTTGTATTTACAAAAACAGTAAAAGGGGATCTGTAAAATGTGCGACACTGATCTATAAAATAAATGGAGGATACTTGTAGATCAGGCGAATGTTTTTGGCACTATTTTCTTCTCTAACCTGAATGAATTGATTCTCGGTTTACACGAGAACTTAAAAGAAGAATTTTTTAAAAAGCTTGAAAATGTGTATTCGGTTTTATGCTGTTTAGTAAACTTTCTTTTGGTACCTTTTCCTTTTTCGTCTTGTTCGGTAGTTGTGGTGACGTTGAAAGGCGCAGTTCGGATCCAGTTGTGCTTCAATATGCCTTATTCAAGTTCGAAACACATTGTATCAGATATCACAAATAGTTTAGTTTGTTAATTTATTCAAGTTGCTAGAGTTGGAATGAATTGGATTCCTTCAGATATGAAATTGAAGTGATGTGCTAGCTTGGTGTAGGCATCCGATTTTCGAACATTATTTTCCTTGTGAGAACCGCTTTCCTTTTCAATTGATTTCGATAAATAGATGGTTAGAAGACTGACAGAATCCAGTCTGTTCCTATGGTATCCCAATAAATAAGATGGATGACAGTATAAAGCATGTGGCTAGGCTATTTAAATAAGGTATAATAAATGTATCCGAGTTGTCCTTGTCGCATTATCCTGTGTGCATTTGAATGTCTTGGTAACAAGCTTGATACTATCAGTCTTGTCGTAAGCTCTCACGCATTTATGTATGTCTGAGTCTACGATATAAACTCTTATGTAGTGTCTTAGTTGTAGTGTTATTTAGGTTGCAATGAAACTAGGTTATCTTACAGTGTACTTTTAGCTAAGATTGTTTCTATTCTACTGTCTTCTATGTAATACGCGTGTCTATTTATTATAATTCCAAATAAATTTTTATTTTCACTTGTAGGAATTTACCAAATCTGGATGAAATGTTCCTTTTTGTTACACATACAATAAATTTAATGCCCGTGCATGCATCCGTCTCAGATTCAGTATGGTCAGCTGTTCGAGTAAGTAACAATATTAGTCGTTGTTTTGTAGCAAATTTAAAGAATTTAAGTGAGTTTTGTTTTTCCTCCTTGATTGATTGGACCAAAATGTTCAGCGTCTGTTAACAGGTCTGCTCTTAGTACGGACGCTTCGACGATTTTTGAGGATTAACATGGTGTTATTCGATGGGTGGCGACTAGCTAACAGTGGACTGCGACTCGAACTCGACAAGTCAACTGAGGCTGAACATCTCGGTCCAATCGATCAACGAAAAAGACAAAATTAACGTAAAAAAATAGCGATTAATACCTGTTACACAACAAGTGGCTGTCATCGCCCAAGTGGTTTACTTCACAACACTTTGGCATTTAAAAGAATGGGTGTTGGGTTCAAGTCTCAGCGGGAATACCGATGCTGATTGGGAATCGCAGGTGCACCTAAATAATGGGTCCTAAATTAGGTTGGAAATATGAATCCTGGATTCCACTGCTAGCCAGCGTCCACCAAATAAAGTTCAAAGGATGTCTTTTCGAAGGGATGCGTCATTTACTTAATTGGGGCTTTTGATGAACGTAATTTTCATGGACGAAATTATAAAACTACTTTTTTGAAACTATCCCGTCGGCCACTCAGATCAAAATAGCTGAACACGAAATCTATCCATTGAAATGATGTGTTTAACCTCTAGTAAATGACATCTGTTAAATGCTTTCTATCATCACATTCTCAAAATGGAAACACTACTTGTATGTGAGTGTTACTCCAGTGATGAGTCAAAATTATATGCCTAATTAAGTTGTTTTTATTGCTGGCTGGATTGTGAATAAGAGCAAAATACAGTTTATTCTAAAACTCTCTTGATAACAGTTAGTAACGATTTTAATGATATCGAAAGGAAAGTAAGGGCGAACTAACATATGATTCAAGTTCGCATTACTAAATGTAAGAGAATTACATTTGTTAGCCGAAAAGGCATGTAATTCGTTTCAGACCAACGATATCTATTTATGATATGAAATGTTTTACTTGATTAGACTTTATTATTATTATTATTATTCAAAGATGTAAACAAGTTAAGCATTTCATTTAGCTACATCAAAGCCATGGTAAACACTTAGGAACAAAACTTTAAGTAATTTAAACATACTACTGACTCGTAAAAATAAGTAGCTGAAAACCACTCAGAGAAAGACTAGTTTTGGCCAGCCAGATAGAGGTGATGTAAACTCTAAGCAGATATTTCAGTATCTTGCATTTGATATTCTTAGCTAACTGCTATTATGAGAGTTCTCCAGATCATGAACTGCGTTGTGTTACTCTTAGTTTTCCTTTGTAAACGATGTTGAGATCTTTTCTCGTACTGTATATGTTGTGTAAACACTTAGTTTGACAATAAATAAACGTTGCTTAGTTAACTCCTAGACTTCATTATCACGTTGGTGAAGTTTGGTTATAGTAAACGTTTCTTCCCCTTCTTACTGATTCATACAACTAGCCGTGGTGTGTAGAATAAATCTTATTCACAGGATATATATATATATATATATATATATATATATATATATATATATGACACTTCCTTGTCATAACTGCTCATTTTTATATTGTCTGCATATATATTATCGTAGCGCTTATGGATTAAGGATAAGATTCAGGTATTAGATTAAATGATGTTTTGTAAACAGATGATAATTAACTTGTATACTTTGTTTTCAGGAGATGTTTACACTTGGTCGAACAAAAAGTAATGAAAGTTCTGTGAATCAACGAGTTCCAGGTGATCTAACTAGTCATCTCGTTTTCAACATTTTATCATTATCGTCATTATCTCCTTGGTTTTTGAGTGGAACGTCAAGCTTCAATAGCGAATCTCCAGTTTCTTCTGGCTGGCTGATTTCCTCCTTACATGATCCCCATGTCACCGTCGAATGCCCAACTCGTCGTTTCCCATCTACATTTTGCTCGAACGCCTAGCGCATGATGCCGCTCATCAATATAGCATGAACTTTACTCAAGTATCGTAGTACAGGGCGAGTAAATATCTTTCTACAACTTCATCTTGGTTCTTAAAGGACTTCAGGGAAAATATAAATGTGAACTTCACTAATGGCCTTATCATAAAGCAGCACCTTCCCACATGCTCAATAATTACACTTTCATAGTTTTCCATCACACCATTCCACTTGACTCTGAGATTCCTGTTCTATTGGAGGTACCAAAGTGTTCTATCTCATATGCGGTAGCACATGTGCTGTGTTAACTGTGAAGCCGAAGAAATTTAATGACACGTGTATGCCTGAGGGATGTCCTAGTAAAAATACACCCACAAAATATGCAACCACAAAATGTTTGTAGTACAAGTTGTATGGATATAAATTCTCAAATCAGCTCACCAATATATTTGTGCTGGACTCATCTATTTACAGACTCGATAGGGATACTACTATGCAATATCAAACTGAACCCAAATCATAACAGATACGCAAACACTATATTATAGTTATTAGGAATAATAAAATATCCGAGTAGACAGCCACCTGAGATTATGGTCTGGTCGACTGGCCATAAGTCTAGTAATATAACCAACCCCACACGTCCATGCCTCGCACACTTCAATGATTCTTGGTCACCGTAGGTTTGACAATCTGGTTGGTCATTGATTCTTCTTCTTCTTTGGAACGTGGATGTGAATTTCCTGTAAATTTTCAAAAGATGTGACCAGTAATTGTGGTGACACAACCAGTCAGCTACAGAACACAGTGTCCTAGTGAACACGTGCGTATCCCATCTCTTTCGCGTAAAAATTGTATTTACGGAAAGTTGAACAAGATAAAGTGAATAAAGGTTTGCTTCAAACAAGGGATGAACACAATGTTCTGTCAGGAAGTAGTGACATCTTTAACAAAAGCCGAACGAAAATTTCGTACGGCTTTTGTTAAAGATGTCACTACTTCCTGACAGAACATTGTGTTCATCCCTTGTTTGAAGCAAACCTTTATTCACTTTATTTGTTCAACTTTCCGTAAATACAATTTTTACGCGAAAGAGATGAGATACGCACGTGTTCACTCGGACATTGTGTTCTGTAGCTGACTGGTTGTGTCACTGCAATTACTGGTCACATCTTTTGAAAATTTACAGGAAATTCACATCCACGTTCCAAAGAAGAAGAAGAATCAATGACCAACCAGATTGTCAAACCTACGGTGACCAAGAATCATTGAAGTGTGCGAGGCATGGACGTGTGGGGTTGGTGTCTACATTTCCGGAAAATGCACTGTTCTTAATACTGCAGATCATGGAAGATAGTAATACTGATATTGCATCATAACGTATGTAATGTTTCTTCGAATTGACTTTTAATACAGTCAAGTTATGGTGCTTATTTATCAGCCGAACCAATACTTAGTTCACCAAGTAAAGACAAACTGTCTAATTTCGCCTCATTCGTGTGTATATACCAGTCTAACCGCTTCTATGGAACTGTTTATGTTGCCTTGTGTTACTTAGGTATATGTATTCCTTTTATTCATAGTTGATATATTTCTTAACGTCTAAGTTGAGTTTCTATGTGAAAACCATTGTGCTCATATTTGAAATTGTCATCCGATTGATACCCATATTTAGCGCTTTGGTGAAACAGTAGTAAAAACTATCCTGTCCGTTTATATGATTAGCATTATTCTTTTGTTCTTATTGAAGTACTTCATCACTAGTGGTAGTTAATCGCATAATACATACCTGATAGTGTTCCAAATAATCTTGTGTGCCACACTTATCAATTAAACTGTTTTATGTTTGTGCATTGTGTGAAGGAGGATTAGAAATAGGCCTTTTTGTCTTGTTATCAGCGTCCATCAAATTCTTCGTTTTACTCCGCTTTATCTGTTTTTGTTCTTATTTTTCCCTCTTCAATACTGTCCCCTTATTTAAGGTGGTTTAATTCCGAAAGGATTGTCTGTAAATAACCTTATTGAAAATATTAAATCATTTCGTGAGAAACGAGCTCAGCTGCCTAGTTACAAGTGAGTCTAAACGTTCAGTGGATACACTGTAGTATTTTGTTTTCCTTTTTATTTGTTTATTGTGGTAAAATAAGTAGGATATAAGGCGTTTTGTATGTGCATGATAACAGTTTTGTATTCTTTAATTCTTTGTCCCTAAATTGCAAAAACTTCTGAAAGTTATCATTGCCTACCTCAGCATTATTCCTATTGATTTTAAAAGGAATTGAAGTATAAGGTGTCACTGATTCAGCTAGCCACGCACATAGTCCGGGTTCGATCCCGTCTAGTGGACTCCTAAGCATCAAATAGTTTGTCATCCGACTATAAACCAGGGGAAGGTTGAGTGTGAAACTAGTAACTTCACCTCGTAAAAACAACATTCCGATCAGAATGCAAAGGAATTTAGAAGGAGAAGGAGAATCCAGATAATGGCGTGAATAAGATATATGAGTGAAACATTACTTTACAATGTGCTGATCACCTTATCCTTAGAGGTGAAAGAATATCGAATAAACCATTCTGATACGATATAAATAGTAAGTGTATTTGTTTAAAAAAGTGATTTCAATAGAAATCTTCAAATAATGGTTATCAGCTTACATTTATTGAGATTCATTTGATAATCACTATTACTCCCTTGGGTCCAAAGTGGAACAGAAGGCTTCAAAAGCACATCTCCATTTTGTCCTGTTCTCTGCAGTCCTCTTTAGGTGGCTCCACGGTTGCCCATAAGCTGTCGTCTCATTCTCACACAGTCTTTACCATGTCACCCTTGCACCCAGGCCTGACTTGTTGTTTCCCACCCGAGGACCTGGCATGCGAAGTCACCAAAGGGTCCATGTGTCTGATCCATCTGCGTTTTCTTCGGAATATTTGTTGAGCAATGGGTTCTTGATTGGTTTATTCCCAGAGTATCTTGTTGCTAATTCTCTCTGGCTATGTGAACTTTGGTATGAAGACAGCGAAGACAGCTGCTGAGAAAAGTTTGCAGTAGACTGTTAGAAATGCTTTTCGTCACCCACTGACCAACTTTATGACCCAAATAGAAGCAGTGACTGAATTCACATTCTTATTGTAAATTCGAATCTTGTTCATTTGACTGGTTGCAGTAGATTAACACACTGATTCCAGGGTGATAAAAGTCTCTCTTGCTTTTTCGATTCTGCCTTTGACATCCTCATCCGTCCCGCCACCTGTGTTTGGAACCATTTTACGTAGATAAGTGAAGGAAGTGACCTCTTTCAAATTTATTTCATTGACAGTGATTAGTTCTGATTGTTGTTATTAGTTAGTTATTTTTATCACCTCCGTCTTCTCTGTGTTCACTTGAAGTCTTATCTTTGCTGCTTGCGTCTTCTCCCAGTTTGTTAGCTTTCGTCTTCGTGTCTGTGTGATGTTAAACATAAATCATTCCAGGAAATCTAGATCTCCAAGAGTCTTCTTATTGGTCCAACGTATTCCTGTCCGCTCGTTCTCCACGCCCATTGTTCCGATTAATCCAGTCTACCAAAATTAAGAAAATTGTCGGTAATAATCGACAGCCTTGTTCTAATCCTGTCCTCACTTCAAAGGCTTCTTCACTGAGCTTATCTTTGTGCATCACTTGACATGTAGCATCATCATAAAGCTGTTGAATTAGTTTAATAAAGGTCTGTAGTATTATACTTCGCAGTGTTGAAGTATTTCCGAAATTACTTCGTGTTCAGCGCTGTTGAAGGCTTTTTGAAAGTCGATGAAGTTGAGGTAGAGCTTTGGCTGCCATTCTCTGCTCTGTTCGATGATAAGTTAGTCGTGAATTATTAGGTAAACCTAAATGAAGAGATAGTCTTAATAAACATAAAATATTCTCATATAAATACAGTTAAGCTTTGCTCCTTGATTATAATCTGTATTATGCAAATTAAAAAGCATTGGCGTATGATGATGATAGGTTCAATCCAGTACACATTGGTGTAAAATTAATACATGTGTAAAACTATGACACTGTGGTAGATAGTATGTAATTCCATAATAATTTGCCTATCGGATAAACAAATTAACACATTGGTGCAGTTGTATTCTGTGAGCTGATTAGTTTATTTGCTAAGCCTTCATCGTCTTTCTAGACAACATCTTTAAGGCATACTTCTCCATCATATCTAGTTCACATTTTTAAGATAGCTCGTAGGAAGTATACCTGGATATGTTGGAAAGTGAAAGCTGTTGTTATCTTATCTAAACCATTGAAAACACTTACTGTGCTGCCAGCTAATTTGTAGATTATGTTTAGTAGTTGTCAACACATTTTGTCGTAATACCACTAATTTGCCTAACATCAAAGGAGGGATTATATAAAAGTATTGAAGGCGTCCAACAGAGCTGTAGTTGTCATTATTAGTTTTCCACACGAAAATTCGTCATGTTACTTACCGTTTTCTCTTTCATTTTTCAAAGTTTAAGACCTGCTTAGAAGTGAAAGTGTTCTTTAATAACCATGCTAATTGGCGATTTCAGTATTCATCCTTAAAGTGATTTGCTATTTATACATATAACAATTATTGCTTAATAAGTTTGTCATCCGTTGAATCAGAGATATTGGCTATTATCATACTTTAAAAATATCCTGAAAACATGTAAATGAATTTCAATTGTTAGATTCTCGTCACGACCCAACATCAGTTAGAGAGATCATTAAAAACCAGGGAGCGCTGGACGGCTGTTTCGTCCTATTTTGGGAGATTGTTCACAGTGCATGCTCGCGACCTTCAGGTTACGAGAACAAACTCGCAGATACTTCACTCACTTGGGCTGGAATTCAATAACTCCTGAACTCTAACTTTGTGAACTCGTGATGTAGCGCTTCCCTCACCAATGCTTCCGATGAGGATCTATTTCACCTTGACATGATAGTCTCCACTGGTCACAACTTTCCACTGCATCTGATAATATTAGAGTTCAGGGGTCATTAGATTCCAACCCATTTGACTGAATGGTCAACGAGTTTGGTCTTATAACCTAAAGGTCGTGGGTCCAATCTATGGTGGGGGAGTGGACGTGCAGTGCTGAAGAGTCCCTCCAAAATAGGACGAAACAGCTGTTCAGTGCTCTCCGGTTTCTAAAGATACCTCTAAATGTTGTTGTTTCGTGAAGAAAATCTGACAATTGAAATTAATCCCAAATCTCCACAAGTCCCATAATCAAAACATGGAAATTAACTGGCAATGAACAAACCCAGTATTCTTCAACGTTGTAGAATCATTAATTTAAATTGCACTTCGATGGTGAATCCTCTCGATTAGTGACCATATTGGAAACTTAACTGGTAAACTTCTATTGAAACTGAGGACTGGAAGGCATGCAATTGCTTACTCACCGGTTTTCAATCGGTGCTTCCATCTCAGTTATAATACATAAGGTCAGTTGCAACCCAAATAATTCACTGGTAGCTTATCGGTCTGTAGCTCTGGACTGTGGGGTTTCGAAAGCCTTCTAAGATATCAGTCCTATAGTGACTCATATTTTGAACCAATAGAAGCCATGTCATACTTTCTGTGCATTTCCCATTACAAAACATAATGCATAAGTGGTAATTAAATCTCCTCCTGGTCAGTGTAGCTTGATACATATCTGGAGTCATATTTAAGCTGGAAATAAAATGCAAATTATATCTTAAGCTCGACGAAGTATGTCGTTTTATATTTTTGCATATAACTGTCAAATATATTCAATGAAGTTTAATTATAGCTGTGCATTTTTTGTTGTAGATTTTTATTATCTTTCTGAAAAAGTTTATTGTTTTTCTTTATTTATTACCGTCTAGCAATCTAGTAGGTACATCACAAGCTCGTTATCAGTCTCCTTTATTACAAATGATGAAAGATTTAGTAGCAGCTCGAGAAAATCCTTCTGAAGCTAATCCAGCGTTAAATGGTCTTCTTCACAAACCGTCTTCATCTTCATCAGGCAACTGGTTAGGAGAGTTAAGGTATTGACTTTGTAATTCCAGCACTTCTTTTTGGTTTTATCCAACTGAAGTTGAAATTGTTTACCAATATCGTATTTTATATGATATGATTTGTTCTAAGTCATTTACTATGCTTCTTCAATTCATGGATATTGGTGTTGGGAAACTGTATGGATTCAGCCTGTATGTAGCCTACTCAATACACCAGTTTACTTTTGAATATTATATAACGTCAAAAATGCATTTCAACTTCTAAAGTTTCAATAACCGGCCACTGACTTGTTGATTAGTACATGACTGTGTGCACGTATTCAAGTAATGTTATTGTATGATGGAGAAAATTTGTAGCTCAGGTTAATGATTTAATGTGGTTGTGTTTCTCTGAGCTGAGTGGTTTAATTCGAAGCTTTCATTGTCCCCTCGGCAACATCTCCGGGTCTTTCTTCAATGTGAAGTGTTTCTGGAGTACTCTGTGAACAACATAGCTTTTCCTCCTGAGGACCTTGGTTATCATTAAATTTTGATTATAATCAATTTTCTGGCAACGAAACAGATTAGGCTTCAAATAGGTGTTAAGGAATTGGTCGTATACGGTGGAGTTGCATAATGAGTGATTGTGACAGTGTACTTCCATTTCTAGACAAGATTATAGATATTTTATCAGCTGAGACCAGTCTTGAGTATCACGAGCCACTGTCTTTCTAGAAATAATGTTAACTGAAATAAAACGAAGTAAAAAAAAAGGGGTGATCAAAACAAAACACACCACTTATCGATGAATTCTCTGACTGTTAATTTGTGTCATTCTGATTGGTGTTAATTGTTTTTCTAGGATCCTGGAAATGTCATGAATCAGTAGTTGTAGGCTGTTGTTGACATGACTTCAAATATTCCATAATACCGCAAATATATATTCACTCTTAATCATATGTGAAAATTAGGACTTCTTCATTAATCTTTATTTGATAATTTACTCTTTTCTCACATTCTAGGTTATATATATCCAAGAGTTTGTTTGTAAGGATTTGATTTGTTTCACGTTTGATCAATTAATACTCGCTAGCGACTGGCTGCAGGAAGAAGTTGCCTGGAGTGCTAATGAGAATTCGTGACCAGTGGGGTTCACCCGGTCGGGAGTGAGGACAAATACTCGCCGATCACTGGTGTTTGCTTAGCATTTGGTAAAAGTTAGAATTCATGGGTCGTTGAGCTGGGTCCCAGTGGCTGAATAATCTACGAGCGCTTGCCTTGTAACAGGAAGGTCCTGTGTTTGATCACCGGTGGGTGCATACTGCCGATGAGTCCGTAACTAAGACGAAACATCTACCCAGTACTTCTGTGCTGCTTTTCAATGGTTCTCTAACTGATATCAATCCGTCATCAAACTTAAAACACAAACATATATATATATATGCTTTTATTGACTTAATTGGTGATTAAAGGATAAATAAAAAAAACTTAAATCTCACATATGTGGGTCTCGTAGCCACGTTGCCAGAGTTTCAGACTGTTAATCTAGAGGCTTCGACCTAACCCTTCAGTTCACCGTCATTCATCACCCTTTACATAAGTAGTAGTAGTCTACTAGTTAAGGACTGTTGTAGGCAGTCTTACTATACTTATGAGATTTTTTCGTGATTTGTCTGTGTAGAAAAAGTATTGATCCCATCGTCGTCAATAGGGTAACGAGAAATTCACTGAAGAACATCACGAAGTCAGTGATATCAGATACTGAATTGCAGATGTTGTCGATTGCCGACTGAAGAGTTTCTTTAGGCATTATTCCTTATCGTATTTGATAAAATTGTATATGATGCGTCTTGAATCACATTCCACGATCAACTTTAAGATTATTTTAGATTTGAAACATTCTTTCAGCGTGAAAAAAATATTGCAAACCATGAAAGGGGTATTGTAATATATGCTTTGTGCTATCTCGTCTGATCTTACCTGCCATTTACATTAATTTTTCCTATTCACAGATAAATTGCGTTTTTATATACTATCCTGGGCTGTATTCACTGTCATTTCTCTACTCTTATTTTGTTTTCCTATAGTCGATTCATTCGAATTCCAGGTGGTGGTGGAAGTGATAAATTCCCTCCATATAAGGCTGATTACATCATTCTAGTTTTAATGGGTAGTTTATCATTTTCATTATGCCGCGATCTCTTTGAAATTGTTACTTCTCATTCAATTAATAAACTGAATCATATGTTTAAGGTAAGTCAAATTATCGGTATGTGTTGATGTCACAATACTCAGATTTTTTGTTTAATAGGGATTTAATTCATCCTCGCTAACCAGTCACTTAGGTTCCACCAAGACAGGAGAATTTCTCACTATTGACGGTGAATTACAGCCATTCTAAATCACTAATTGGCAGTGATTGAATGGTATTGAACTTTTAATGAAACTTGGCGGTATTGGTTTCTGCCTTTTGCGATACATAGTTTGACATCACTGAAAGTTTATCAGTCGAGATGCAATGCTTGTTATGCAATTTTTCGTTCGCTAGTTGTTGATTAGTTCCTTATGAATTCTCCTCTGATAATATTGTTTACAACGTTAATGGAAATCCTTTGACATTTAATAATTCTCGGCTGGAAACGTTTAACCAGAGGTTAAACTGTGATTTATGTCTTCGATTGACACAAGCACAACCTCAATTTCATTCTAGCCATTAATCAGTAGTGTAATGGTAGAATGTCCCACAGCTGCTTTGAGAGATCCCGACTGACACACTCAAACTTAGCCCAGTTCATTAGCCGATAGTTATACTGCAAAATTGGAAACGATGGGCATGAGACTAGCAACCCTATCCCATAGAAACAGCATCATCAAGAGCACCACCGCTGAAAGTTCAAAGCTTGAAGTCCTATATTCCACCTGGAGGGCAAAGGAAAAAGGAAAGTGTATTATTTTATCGAGCACCTTTATATTTTAGATGTTTCCCCGGCTACTCACTGAATTATAGTTGCTTTTCACTCTATCTGAAATTAGAAGGAGATTTATTGTTAAGTCAATGATGACATTAGTTTGACCAGCTAATTATTTCAAACTGTCGTAAGTTGTGACTAGTCGTCTGTGACTACTTATATAAATTGGTATTTCTTTTTCTTAAAATGAAGCTCTGCTTATTTTCTCAGTCGAACAGACAACATCTGTCAAGAAATTAATTAGTTAACTTTCGGTTGATTTATTTAAGCTCCCGGCAGTTTTAGAGAGGGGAGGGAATGGTTACTATCTTTAAATTATTATATTCGTAGATATTTGATAGCTTGAAGAAGGATAACTGGTTTAATCTATTGTTATTCTTTGGGTTATACTATAATTGTGAACCCTTTGCTAATAATGCAAAGAACTCAGGAATCTGTTAGCTCACTCCAGCCTGTTTTACCCTTTTCTTTAACGTTTTGTATGTCAGACGTTTTTCAGTCCATAGGAAATATTAAAAAGACGATTGCAGAGAAGAATATTCTAACTTCATTATCACATATTGTGAGTTTATATTATATGATTCTCTGGTAAATACTTATACGCTTACATTTATTTACATTTGTAGTTGAAAATTATTGCCGGTGGTGGCTTCAGTGGTGGACGTGCAGGGATTTCCAGCTATCTAAATATGGATATGTGATTTGATATCTTGTTAAATATCAATATTTATTTTCTCACCTTCATGCATATCTTTTGTTTTGTATTTCTTTCTCTCTCCTTTTGCTTATAAGCGGTTTAGAACTGTGACTTACGTCGTATATATATCTGTATCTGATCTTGGGGTACGATAACAACAACAATAAATAATATTAAAGAATACTTGTTCATCTTTAAATTTTTTTTCCTGGATTATATGTCTTTTGTCAGTTTGTTAATAACAGGCGTAAAGTAGTTCGTGTCACTGTTGTATTGACATCCAATCAGTTTGTCTAATCACCACCTCTTGCTTACACTGAATCTTAAGTAGATAAAGCGAGTACCTAACACTACTTTGACTCTGGTGATTGTGAGCTAGTGTTTATCAGTCAGCTGTTTTCTCCCCTCCCCCCACCAAAATAAGACAAAGGTTAGGCAGTTTATTATGAGAAATCAGTGTACCACTAGGAAATCATCTCAAGTGATTAGTAATGCTATTGTGACGTGTGCTGCTGACAAAATTTATAAGTAGTGTACAGATAGAGATATCTGCAGAAATATCGAATAACACAGAGGTGGACTTAATGGCGATGCGAAGAAACAAATGACTCTTGTGAAACAACATAGAAAATCTTGGAGTACTGGACAGGTGTTTCGTCCTTGTTTCAGACTCATAAGCATTGTACACCCAGGATCCACGGGTTACAAGGCGAACTCGTAGGTCATTAAGCCACTGGGATCCGATCTAATGGCCCATGAAGTCCAACTTTCGCCAATTCGCGATATAGCGCGACTACTAGCTAATGTCATCGGCGAGTATCAGATTAAGTGTGTCTAGTACTCTTAGGTTTTCCAATGGTTCTCTAACCGATGTGAGCTCATGATGAAAATCCTGTAACCATTCAAATCTCTACAAAGCAACACTTAAACATAAAAAAATAATCGAAGGAAGACAAAGAGGCACAAAACGGAATACATATACAAATTATGATTTCGTTGATGCATATTGCCTATATCCGAACATTGAGGTGCCAATCAACAATTCCATAGGCATATACTCACGTGTTCTGCTTTTACAGTAGGAAGTGAGCATTTCCATTGTTATATTTGGGGATATTTTCTCACCTGTTTTGGAAATCCTAGTCCAGAAATATGTCAAGTCACTTTTCTTTTTTATGAAACAAGCTTTACTTGAATGCGTATAAGTCTATTTTTAGAAAGTTTTCTACCACTCTAAAAGGACAGAATAAGGTAAAAACCTGTAGCGTATTAGTTTTGGCCTTAAAATGTCACTGACATATTAACTGTATTCTGTTCACTTATTCATATGTGATTTATCTCAACTCAAGACTAGAAATAATCCTGCTATTAGAGATAAACCATGCTAATATGATAAAGTTTTGACAAATCTTAAATTTGTTGTATGGAATTTCATAATGTTGCGTTTGACGTTTTTTTTCCATACAAATGAAATAAATTCATCCTATTCGGTTGATCAGAAGTCAGTCTTCCTGTATTATCCGCTTCCAGTTTAGAATTCATATCGCCCAGTAGGATTTTGATGTTACCATTTAGGATGTCAAACATTACTGTCTGTAGTTATCTATAGAAATCTTCCTTCTCTTGTTCCGAGTTGTTTTTGTCGGTGGGTGGCATTGGATAATTGTAGCTTTCCTTTTGAATTGGATCTTGCTGTCATCATACTGGAGGAGATTGACTTCTACTGCGTAAGAGCATTGACTGCTATCGGTGACACCATGATAGCCACTCTTTTTTATATTTCTGATTATAGCTTGATTCCACATCGTATTTTTGGTGCAAGTGTGGAATTTTGAGCATGCAGGCCGACCAATTGATATCAGGTGTGCGTCGGCAGGGGATCGAACCCCGGACCACGTGCGTGGTCGGCGAGAGTCCTAACTGCTGTGCTACCGACGCAACACTGTCGGTGTGCTCGTGGTCGTCTTCTGGGTGACCGGATTAGATTATTGACTTTTCAGTTAACAACTTGGATAGTCCACATCTATTCCAATTGCTCTCGCAGATTCCTGGTACTTCCATGCCGTATCTTTTCATTTCTTCGGTTACCTGGACAGCCTCGTACACTGTAAGAACAATCCACGTCCGAATGCTAATTTTTGCTTCTATCGAAAGAAGACACATCACTTAACTTGCTTCCCGAAGGCTTTCACCGGTCGGCGTCTTTTCGTCTCTACGATTCCAGCGAAGAATAATTTTCTTTTTTAATATTTTCCTTGTGCTTTGAAGTTTCTGTGGTGATTGGATTGATTTTCCGGGTTACAGTCCCTAGCCTCACGCCCAACCTTCCTTCTCCCAGGCTTACAACCGGCTAGAAAAATAGCGAGCTAGTAAACTAGGCGAGGTTAAACACATGTTTCCGCCCAGGTTGATAGTAACTGGTGCCAGGATCGAGGTTATGCATTTTGTCCTGGATATATCTGCCTCCTCAATAAGTGATTGTTTTCCCATGTCAACAGAGTTCGAGTACTTCCCTCCAATGTAATCATTGAACAGGAAATACAAATTGACCTAAACAGATAAATTCATCCCATTCTGTTAAGTACAAATAATGCTGTGGTTCATTGACTTAAGCATTCAACTTCCTGTAATGGTGTATTACTCTACCTTGAACACCACTTCACCTCTTTCGTTCTGGGCAATCAGCAGTAATTCTAAGTATTTACACAGTCAATTGTACTTTTAGCCCAGATGGCTGAATAACATTACTGTTATTACATATATGCTAAAAAGATTAAATATGTATAAAACTAATAAAAATGACGTGTAAATTAGGACTTGGCAATAAAATGAAGATTTTTTTTCTGTCGAAGTTTTATTAAACGACTTCACCAATCTTCTTGTCGTCACTTCTTAGGCTGCACTACTTCTGGCGTCTTGCATGTATACTATGCTACAAAATTTGAAGCTTTAAGTGAAGTAGATGTGTAGTAATTAGTAGTTTTTACATCTGATATCTATTCTTGACTGGAATCTATTTCTGACCAGTGAAACTTCTACAATCAGAAACTTGTTTCACCGTTCCAAGTTATTTTACATTCTATATTCCCCGATTAGTGTGTTCTTCTCCCATAAATCAATAGCTTCCTTCATTGAATGTAGGCTGTTCTCTACTTCAGATTGTTTGATAAATTTACGAATAGCGGAATTAAAGATTTTTCGCTTTTTCAATATATCCAAACATCATAATTGTACTGAAATCGTCCAACCATGTGAGTGGATGACGGCGATATGATTATCGTCTGTTGCTTAAACATAAAATCAATGTCAATTTTGGCTTTAGTATTCTCTTTTTTGTATGGAAATTACGGTATTACAATTTAAATGTGCGTAGATACGTGTACATAGGGAAGAATAACCGCGCCTTTCGCATGAGGATAGGGAAACTGTACATACATATATACAGCTGAGTTCGATGAGCGCAAGTGGTACACTACCAACCTTGTCTGTATCTAAACGCTTGTATAAATCATAAGATTGATATTCAGACAGCTTTCAAGATTATTTATAATAACAGTCGGGAATACAGACTGAAATACTGAGGCGATAGCCATTTGTAGAGCTGAGCCTCCGCCCTGTGTGTATGAAAACAATTTATTGTTATCCTTAAAATAATCAGCAGAATATCTGCATCAATAATAGTGCCCGAAAAATATAAATTAAGGTTACAGATTAATAGAAATGATGGTAACGATTTGTTAATGATATGAAGAGTAGAACGGGTTGTTCATCTACAGTTCCACAGTAAGTCAGTGGTTCCGTACGTATCATCTTTCTCATCACATAAAATGCGTGACAAATAAGTTATGGTTGGGTTTTCGCATTTAGTCGTGCCAGCATGGAGTATTTTAATACTTGCTTCTAGTCTTACCTGATGAGATGCAAGGGGAGATTTGTGAATAAATAAGGTGCTCAGAGTTCGACAATATGATGTTTATTAAATCCTTGCATGAGTTCGAGTGTCTACCTACAAAAGTAACGAGTTGGCTTAGGGGCACATCACTCGCTCCACAATCCCACATAGTCCTTTTTAACTGGCCTAGGAAAAATTAAGGGTAAGGAAGAAATAAGAAACAAAATACTAGGTCGCGTCATTCCGGGGAAAATAAAAGAAGTACTGGATGCAGAACTCCGACCGGAACAAGCTGGATTCAGAAAAAGCAAATTATGTGTGGATGAAGTAGCTACTGTATCCATCATCATCGAACAGAGCATAGAGTAGCACTCGAATTTCTACCTCAAGTTCATCGACTAATTTCATAAAGGTCTTCGGCAGCGTTGACCATGAAGCAATTCGGAAACTACTTCGACACTATGGCGTGCCCCAAATCCTTATCAACCTCATTCGAAAGCTATATGATAGTGAAAAATATCAAGGGATTCACAAAGGTAAGCTCACCAAAGAGGTCTCTGAAATGAAGACAGGAGTAAGACATGGCCGCCTGCCTGCTATCACTGATGATACTTCTTATTGTGATGGACTGGATTATGCGGAACAAAGTACGTGGGAAGCGAGAGGACAAGAACATGTTGGACCGATAAGAAAACTCTTGGAGAT